GGAGAATTTCAAAGTATTAGGAAATTAGAGGCCACATGCCTCGTACTGCTCTTCTCTCTCTGGAACTCAACACTTGCAAGCCAGATATGAAAGAAACAAAAAAATCATCAGTCACACCACCGGGACTCGAACCAGGGACCTTGCTATTCGCGAGCAATGCTCTAACCAACTGAGCTACAGTATGACTCTTATTCACAGTGATGGCAAGTCCATGCTTCTTCAACCAATCCTCATCTGGCTTGCATCATACTGGCAACTCACACCACTCAAGAGGGCCCTTGGCCATCCGCTTGATATCATGGGGAGCGCAAGCGAATGGCCGAGGGCCCTTTTGAGTGATGTGAGTTGCCAGTATGATGCAAGCCAGATATTGATTGATCGAAGAAGGACAGATTTGCCATCACTGTGGATAAGAGTCATGCTGTAGCTCAGTTGGATCGAGGCAGAGCATTGCTCGCGAATAGCAAGGTCCCTGGTTCGAATCCTGGCGATGTGATTGATGATTTTTTTCTTTCGTATCTGGCTTGCAAGTGCTGAGTTCCGGAAAGAAAAGAGCAGTACGAGGCATGTGGCCTCAAATTTTCTAATATCAATAAAGTTTGAAACTCGGTTGTTGAGCCAATAATAAATGTACTTCAGAAGTAGGAAGAAAAAAGGACATAGGGATACGTTGTGACGATGGGTGACCGGCCCGAAACGTCAATAAATTTTCAACATCATTAATAACAGAATTTTCATCTAAAGAGTGAATAGCAACTAAATAGAGTGGTTGTCAGTTGACAATGCAGTTGTGTGATGTCCACCACTTTCTGAACATACGGATACGAGTTAAAACTTGGAAGGCTGCTGGTTAGCGCTACGGAGATGTGTTGAAGCTAGGTGTCAGGACGTCGAATGCCTCAGTACTCTGTCAGGTTTGTGCCTACAGTCTGTTTCAAAAAGATTTGCAATCCTGGCGAGCGCCCGGGGAGTTTGCCGTCTTACCGTATGAGCGCTCGAGCGCTGCCTGGAAAAACGTACTGTGAACTCGAAGAAATATTCCGCGCGAAAGCATGACAAAATGACAGCTCACCGACGTCGGTACATGTACGTCTGGTTTACAACAAACGAGTTCTTCCTCGTATCGATATGGAGTCGACAGTCAGAGAGGACATGTCGAAAGTGTGGTAACTTTTGACTAGTGGGATGCGTCCCAATTCGTTTTGTGACCAAATAGATTCTTTGAGCTGCCGCGGATGGAATTTACTCCCATGATGTGACGAAAACGGCATCGGCACAGACTCATTCCCAAGGCCATGATATGGCAAAGCTATCCATGTGACTTCGACAACCTTTAGAGAAAAGCAGACGCCTGTGAAAGCTGACAGAATACGGTGTTGACTCCTAAATTCAAATAAATTGGCGATTTCGAAATGCTAAAATAATTCTGAAACAGAAATCAATCGATCGATGTGCGAGTGTATTCAACAACACGTAGCCACAGCGCAATGACTTCCGCGTTCACTCACACCATTTCAGTGTTGTGTGTGTTCACAACTTCACATGGCGTGAGCCAGTCAAGTGTCCGTCAGTTCGGCAGGAAACACGAGCTCCAGCAACAAGTCGTTTGGCGCAGCCACCTTCTTTGTCTTGTGCCAGCGTGATCACGAAAACAATGAAAAAATGAAGAAAAATGTTTCACTTGAAGATTTGTTGGGATTTGAACTCACAACTTTATGGTCAGCAGACAGCAATCATAACCACAAGGCCAAAAAGGAAAAGATAAATCGTGGGTTTTGATAAAAAATTGATACTGGCTTCCAGGGCAAATTGTAATCCGTGGGAAAGGCCCGAAACCTGGCCGAAATTCTAACTCCTTAACCGCTGGTCCAATTGTTCCGGAACCTTCACAGAACAATTTGCCGTGCCCCAACAAGCCCTTTTAGGTACTTATCTTCATACTTTTTAAGACCAAAACCTGATTGTAAATCTTTTTGAAACGGACTGTAGTTGTTGCACTTTCTGACTGTATTTTGTATCCAGTTACAGTGGTGGACAGTTACTCTTAACTCGTTTCCGTATGTTCTTTTCCTTTCTACATCAATAGAGTTATGATAATAATCATAATAGAATGAAGCAGGAGGATCTCTTAGTGACTTCCACACACGCAGGCAATCTCCAGACCCATAAATCACTATTTCTGTGCAGTGATGACATGAACACACCACACACCGTTCCTGGTCCATTCTGTTTGTTCCTTGCAGGGCATACTCGCCTTACTAGCTGCAATTTACTTGGCATTGACAATTACAGCTCCAGCAGTTTCGGGAACACAAACCGGTATGTACTCGTTAAGGTAAAAAAATATGATCGCCAAATGTTCACGCGGTGAAATTGAGAACTAGTCCAAACAGACAAAAGATTGAGTAGGTACTCAAGGAAGTGCTGTGGTAAAGTGATGAGAAGAGTGCGGGGAAACATGTGCAAGACATGTGTGTAAGTGTATGTGTGGGGAGTAGCA